CCCTCACTTAGATGAGGGAATAAAGGGGAACTCATCAAATTTGCAGGAATAGTCAACACCTCAGAAGACAAGCTCCAAGACAAGATCTTGACAGACTTGAACAATCGGCCCTATCCAACAAAATGAAATTTAATGTGGAGAAAATAGGTTTTACATGTAGGCAAGAAAAAACAAAGGTACAAGTACAGATTAGGCAAAACTTGCCTCAAAAATAATAACTGTGAGAGGGACCTTAGAATCCTAGTAGATGATCACTTAAAGATGAGCCAGCAGTGTGTGGCAGCAGCCAAAAAAGCTAATACAATCCTTGGTTGTATAAATAAAGGGATAGAATCAGATCACGTGAAATGTTAATACTACTTTATAATGACTTGGTAAGGCCACACTTGGAATACTGCATCCAATTTTGGTCACTACATTACAAAAAATGTTGATATTTTGGAAAAAGTGCAAAGAGCAACTAAGATTATTAAAATATATGAAGAACAGTTTCAGGATTTGGGTTTGTCTAATCTAGAGAAAAGGACTGGGGGGGGGTAGGGTTAGGGGGGACATGATAGCAGTATTTCAGTATTTGAGAGGTTACCATAAAGAGGAGAGGGTCAACTTATTTTCCAAACCACCAGAGGGCAGGAAAAAAAACAATGGATGGACACTAATCAAGGAGAAAAGCAATCTGGAAATAAGGAGAAATTTCACAACAGCGAGAACAATTAAACACTGGGACAGCTTGCCGTTAGAAGTTGTGGGTGCTTCATCACTGGAGGTTTTTAAGACTGGACAGTCACTTGTCTGAAATAGTATAGGGTTTCCTGGTTAAGCATGCATTGGACTAGAAGACCTAGAAGGTCCCTTCCAGCTCTATTCTGATTCTGATTCAATTATTTTTCTAACACTCCCTGAATTTGGGAAGGTCTACCTTCCCAAAGGTACCCCTGGAAGTCTTTTTATTGATTTATAAAGACTATTATTTAACTAGACATTTGGAAGATAACTTTTGAATTTGAGTTGACTGAGCTGCGAAGTTCAATGTGTTGTGTTTTTTTGGCTTGTATAATGTTTCTAATTCAATTATTGTGAACCAATACATCAATAAGGTGCTTACTGAATGGATGAAGAACTGTTAGTTTTCCAAGGAAAGTTAGAGCAGTGGGTAGGAAAAATACATGGGTGCTCACAAGGACAAGTAATATCACGAATCATGCAAATTAAATTTTTATAACTCGTTTATGCAAATCACATTTTTATTATTAAAATTATGTATGAGGGAATCATGGCAAGAAGGACTCATCACTGCTTCTATTGGACGTCTATGAATAACACTGAAACTTACTTTGAAGCCATTTTTTTTTTTCTGAGCACATCACAATCTGCATTTGCAAGTACCGGTACCACGTTCTAGTCACATACCTCTTTGCAAAACATATTATTCTGGATTCTAAGCATGAATTTTTACTAGTCATGGTAGTAGTTGATCCCGTGGATAGTTCTTTTTGCTGTTGTTGTTTTTCATTAATTCCCACTTAAAGATCAGAACAAAAGAATTTTGGTTAAACCCTGAAGTGCTTACAAGCATCAAGTTTCTATACTGAAATGATAACATTTCAATAATTGCTTGAAATTTAAATAAGGGGATAAAATATTTATAAAACATGAATAAAAGCATTATATTAACATTTCTAAATGCAATTAAATGAATGTTATAATCCATTTAAGTACAATGCAGCTTGCAGTATTATTTTGAAAACACTTTAATAGTGATATTGCATCTAATAGTTTCATTCAGTGTTGATTCTGTTCTGCTCTATTTTAGGAAGTGGAGAGGTTAAGGTCAAGATCTGCCATACCTTAATTTATTCACTATGTTAAGCCAATTGTAACAGAAGCTAATGAAAATCTCAGTAGCAATCAAATTATTGCATATATTGAATACTGTAACAATCCAACATATTAGATTATGTTTTACATTGCCATCCTGTACATCTTAAGTAGACCTCTGTGAAATTCTATTTCTTCTGAATAGATATACTGTAGATTCATACTCAAATCTCCTATCAAAGTCAGAACTGACCATTCCTATTGTATTATTAGCACTCATCATGATTAGAGGAACAACAGAATCTTAAATATTTTCATTATGAACAATTGAATATGTATGTTTACTCTGGAGAAAAAATAGTTTTATAAGGAGAAAAAACAAAATATCTTAAGTATTTTAAAAAGCTTTATGAAGTCATTTTTTCAAAATAGAAGTCATTAGTTCTAGCACTATAGATTATGTTTGGATACTAGTCCATCAGTATAGTTGAGTTCATCTGAAATGTTACATCTACTGTAGGTCTAATGAACATTCATGCAACAGAAAGCAAGAATGCACTGGAGTAGACATCATCATTTCTACATGCACGTAGAAAAGCTCTGAAGGAAGGCTGCAATGACAATCCTTAATTCTTGTCTTTTGAATGCCCACATGGAACATCCTAAATTCCTATTGATATTTCAAGGTTATTTCTCTGTTCAATAGGATTTCAAAAATTATTGCCATCAAAAAAAATCTTCCTTGAGACTAACATGACAAATTCTAACAGTAGTTTGACAGTTGAAGATATTCATGCAAAGCAGCTTTCCTTCACTGTATCTTTTTAGCTGCTAAAATGTTTTTATTGTATTTGTTTTTAAGTCAAGTAGGAATGTAACATGCAGTCTGCTTAGCTTTTTAGCATGGAATAGGAAGGCTACTATAGGCAGCTGTCTTGTTAAAAACATACTGTTGGGGAAATCATATGCATGCTTATGTAAAATAAGTCCTATTGGGTTCAATAGGATCCACTGGCAGAATCAGTTTTACTTAGCCTGACTCCTCTAAATGTGATCAAGCCAGGAATCTCAAACAAAACAAACCCAGTTGTAGTCCATCCTATTTACATGGTGCCAGATTGAAAATGCCTTTTATTGTTTTTTATATAAATGTAAATAAAGTCCACTCTCCCCTGCTAAGTAGGTATTTTTCTAGTATTGTTCTGTCTCTTGACTAGAATCATTCTAAGAGTAAACATAAAGTTTCCTATGGAAGTTTGTGTACATTTCATATCCCACTGATGCTTAACTAAGGCAGATTATACCTAATAGCAAACACTGCAGAATGATTTACTGTATAGAAATTATGCCATATCTAAATACATGATATAATAAAGTGTGGTTGTCATAACATTGGAACCAGGACCTGTGAAATTTGGATTCAAGATACAGCTTGACTTTGAACAGACATGTCAAACTTGCGACGTCACATGACGTCGCGCAACGTATTGGGAGTTTTGCCATTGCCGGCAATGGGGTGGGCGCGGCTTCCGGATCAGCAGTATGACATCCCTGACTTTGAAGATCAGTAACTCTTCAGCCAACTTTCATATGACTGTTGAAGAAATGAGGAGGTGACCTATCATGAGCTCCCAAGGCTCTAAATGTAATAATTAAAACAAAACATATTACTCAAGATTTGTATAATCCAAATTCTTAGCTTATGCAACATTTGTTTCAGTAGTATTTACTCCTAAGAAAATGCAGAGAATCCTGTAAAAACCTCAGTATCAATTTTAACACCAAAGTAATTGGAATTAGTGGGAAAAAGTTAGATCAGGGGTGTCAAACTGCCGGCCCATGGGCCAGATGCATCATAGCAAAACCGCGCCCACCCAATTGCCGGCAATGGCAAAAAAGTCATGATACATCACAAGTCACGTGACGTTGAGAGTTTGACACCAGAGTTAGAATTATAAATATTGAATTTCAGGTTAAAAATGTAGTGTATTGAGAACAAACTGTATTGAACAAAGGGACATAAACATGAATAGAACTGTTTAGCCCACTCAAATATAAATTCTTGTTTATCATTAGTTTCAATATTAATCTGTCAACTTGTCAAACTTAATATTTTAATGATACAAATATAATTACTCAGCACTCCTCACTGGCTCCATCTTACTACGAATGTTAGAAGAGCTATAGGTAAAGGCAAGTCAAGACTGGGAGACAATGTGCAGTGAGATACATGGGATTTCAGGAATAGAAGTTTAAACTTAGCAGGAAGATATGGTAGGGTACCAATGGGTGATCAAAGTATTTTTCACATCTGGCCATGGTCTATCAAACTGAACCACTGCTATATCCTGACTTCTTTACCAACATATGGGTCAAGTGGACTTTCCTTTTGACTGTTTAATTATTTTATTTCTTTGCCATTTGCCACTTATATTTTATGTATTGGGATTTTTTAAAATATTATTATTTTGCTTTTGTTGTTTGCAGCCCAGAATCACATAATGTGAATTGGGTGGCCTTATAAATGCATGTCATAAAAATAAATATCTGAAATTAATTCGCTAAACACAAATTTTGTCCCAGCTGATGAACATTCCTGAAATATATTGCCCTGCAATGTTTGACAATGTAAAAGTGAACTGGCAAACTGTTGTGGCAATCACTTATTTATTTCTGATTGTCTATTCTCTGCTTAGCAACATAAATTTTGAGCTCAATTGTGGTCCAACGTCAAGGACTATCTATATTGCTTGTCTGCTACTGAAGAAAATAAATCAATTATACAACGTGTAGCAGTTAGTACAGCAATACAAGGCATTCCCAGTAAAATTATAGTTTAGTTTCTGACCACAAAAATCAAATGGTTTTTTATTATAGACTGTAATATAATAGATAAGTAGAGACTTCCAGCATTTGATGTAAAAATTAAAGGTGCTGGCATGATTGAAGAAATACCAAGCATGATTATGCTTCTTGCTATTTCTTCAAAAAAAGCTGCATAGCAGCCACCTGATTTCAGGAAAATATATATGTCTTTGAGGTATAATGGCATGCTTATCAATAGCAGTTCCTCCTTAGTTAAATATGATTCTTTTTCTGAATCTTTGTAGACCCTGGACAAGCTCAGAAAACAAATGCAGCATTAAGAAATGCTCAGATTCAGAATGTATGATCACGTCTCAAAAATACATTTTTTGCATCCCATCCAAGGAGCTGCATACCCTAATAATGAATCTATTTAAAATAAAAAAGGTTGGTTCCTTAATGCCACAACTGAGCATTAAGGCTCAACAATATCATTTAAATCATGATTCAGAGTAGGCATGGCACAGAAGGCAAATCATGCTTGGAGTTTTCAAACAAGCCTACATCAGTTTTAAATGCATACAGACTTTACACACAATAAAAGAAAATTGAGATGAAAAAACAAGCATTGTCTTTATCATTACTTTTATCATACAACATAAAGGACAAATGGTGCAACCAAGAGCATCTGGGGTCATTCAGATCTGAGATAAAATATTCAAAATCATACAAAGACATCAAGGAATATTATAGCTAAATGTACTTATCCTTGATCAATCACTTTCATTATAAAATCTGTATGTATTTAAAAAGCATGAGCAACATTCAAATGGGTGAAGTGTGTTTAGAAAAACAAAAGTAGTTCTATTATTTAGTTCAAAGTTCTTCCTTTCCAAGGTGATAATCCTCTGCAGCTGCAATGCAGCTGCAACAATCAATGAATTCAGACATCATACAAAACTACTTAGCATGAAACGGTTTGCAAACCAATATTTCTCAGCCTTATACACAAAGAGGTATTAATTTAGTCGAGGGACAAATCTCTAGAATGGTAGTGTGGCCTTACATAATCTTTAAATTTTGCTTAGGAAGTTATTAAGGATTTTAAAAAATATACCTGAGAAAATATAAGAGCTCTAATGCATAAAGGCCTTAAAATATTCTTTGGATATAATTCTGATTTCAATAAATGAAATGGAGATTTAATATTAAAGCTTACACAAATGTCAGATATTATTCAGATATAGGCACCGGAACATTAACAGTATTTATTTAAAATACTTTCATCATGGAAACCTAATTTATGAGAATAGTATTTTTCCCAAGAAAAATAACATCAGAATACTCTGAATACTAATACAAAGAAAGCTCAGCATATCCAAACCAGTGTTTAGGTTTGTGAGTCTTAATTTTGTTTATTTAGTGAACACTGCTATCCATTTTTAGATCAGATTTGTTCTTGTCATTCTTCACTGAATAGATGAAATAGGTTAAAGTATCCTTTTCATTCACTGGAATAGTCCGAAAATGACATCCAATTATCTGGAGGGGAAAAAAAAGGATTTGTCTATATATTGAAAAAAATATTGGACAAGGGTCTTGGAAGTAAGCCATTAAAATAAGAACAATGTATTAATATTTTAAGGAATTCATGCAAAAATGGAAGCATTAAGATACCAGTCTACTTGAAAAGTAAATTCAAAATTAAAAACATAATTATCATGCTTTGATTAAGGAATAATAAAAAACTAAGATACCCATTAGGCTATCTTAAATGAAATGGTGCAATATATTAAAAACTGACTTATCCAAGTAATCTGTAAAAATAAGCTTAATACATTACCAAATATGGATTTATTTCTCTATAATATTTTGGAACACTTGAGAATTCAACTATTCATAAATGCCATCTTTTTTAGTTAAAAAAAACCTCTTTTCTTAGTTTTATGTAGTTAAGGATCTAATATTGATTAATTTATTTGTATCCCACCTTTATTATATACTATTCTTTTACACAAATTTAAAAAAAACATACACTGAAATTCCAAGGGTCCATATTGGGACAATTATACGTTGATAAGGTGACCAAATTTTCAATTTATACCTATAGGACAAGTTTATGCTAAACAGAACGAAGAACTGGAGAAGTTTTCTAAATTTTTGAAATATCCTCAAGATACACAAAAAGTGAGCTTGATTCAATCAACTGATACTTGATGAAAACCAGAAGTACTGCTTCATATTAGAAGTACTGCTTCATCTGTGCTGTTTGATATTACAATTTATCAGTTTTCTTAAGAGGCACGGTGGCTGAGTGGCTTAATGTCACTGTTGATATTCTCTGCCGGTGGTTTGAATCCTAGCACCGCGTATGGGGTAAGCTTCTATCATTCACTTCAGCTTCTGTTCACCTAAAAGTTCAAAAGCATGTTCTATGCGAGTAGATAAAATAGGTACCACTTTGGTAAGGGATTGAGCTGGTGCTCCATGCAGGCAGTCAGATTTCCACCCTCTGAACCTTCCCAGTTGCAGCGCCTTTTGGCGTGGCAACTCCGGGGAGGGAGGAAGCCTTGATAACACTGCAGGAAGAACCACTTGTCCTTCTTTTTAGTATGAAGCCAGCTTGCCTCTTGTGGCGCACCATGGGAAGATTACAAGTATTTCCTACAACAGAGCTGGTACCTTGGCAGCCAAACTACTCTGTAATAGTACTGTGGTCTCCTGGCTATAATAATAAATAATAAATACTAATAATACATAATAATAATACATAACAATAACAACAAAACAACAACAGTAATAATTAGTAGTAGTTTCTTTGATAATACCCCTGGTTAAATTAGGTGATATAATCTATTCTACTAATTTACTTAACCTATTAACCTATTTTAATATCTTTATTTCTACCAATTCTCTATATGCATTATTTTATTTATTTATATATTCCATTTACATAGCTATCCATATATACTGTATCTCCATTATGATATCTAGGTGGATAACAGCATAAAAATATTTTTTAAAAAACTAAACAAAAGATAATTGGCAATATACACATAATATAAGCAAGCTTGACCATTCTGTTTTATTTCTCCTTAATTCAATTTTAAGGCATCTAAGAATGGACAGCCAATTCAATACTCTCCAAATGTCAGTGGCTAATACCTGCAGCTTTTTTTTCAAATCTCTTTTCTGATAATTTTGAGGCCTAGGTTTGCTTTTCCGCTGTTTCTACGATTCTCATTTTTTACTGTTGTAACATTGTAAGCCAACATTTATCAAGGAGTTTTTTTACTATGTCTTCAAGTTGCCTTTCTAGTAGTTAAATCCAATTCAGATTCTAGCCATATGTATTTATGACAAGTTATAGTTGCTTGTCTCCATGCTTTTTATTTTGCAATTTTACAAGTCTTTTATGAAGACATGTTTTTAACTTAGAATCCACCTCTTAAGTTCTTCATAATCTGCATAGTATTTCATTCAATTTTATGTATAAAACTATTTCTTATATATTAATTTGAGCTTCATTTAAAACTAAACTAAACTTTACAGTTTAAAACAAAACTAAAGGTTTTTTGAAATGGCCAGTCTTGAACTACATTCTAAAGTTCAAAGGAAAGTTATAAGTGAGGATGTTACCCAAAGGACATTTCCTTGCACCTGCACATGATGCATAACTTCCAAAAGTGGAAACTTAGAGGAGAGCCTCTTCTACAGATTTCAACACCTGGGCAGGTACAGAGGAGGAAGATGTGGTACCAATATATGTCAAAACAATAGACTCTTCTCCCACCCAAATCTGCCCAGGTAAACCTGTTAAGTGATCAGATGTTTTTAGTCCCCAACTTTGTTGGAAAACCATATAGATCTCAACATGAAAGAATAGCAAAGATTTGCAGAAATATACTTGGGGAGAGATATAAGCAATCATCAGGATAAAAAGAAACCCTCAGAACTAAAACATTTAAAAGCTACAATTCAGAAAAACTATGTATTATGGCATGTTTAATTTTTTGTACTCAAAAGAAAAAATAAAGTTCTACTTACTTCAACAAGTTGTGCTTTATTAAGTCCTGGTCTGGTCTGTAATTTGAAGTGCCTTTTGTATCTTCTTAATGTGTTTACTTGCAGCTGAAACAGATCAACCTAGAAAGAAACATGATTCTTTAACCTATAGTTAATTGTCAACCTGTTTTATCTTGCAAATATTGTATGAAATTTTGAGCTATGTGCTCATCATTTTGTAATGTGTAGCAAAATAGTGCCACTGTAACTCTTTGATTAAGGATGGTACATATTTTACCCAATGAAAGGTCCCAATTTCTGTCTCCAGAAACTGTTTAAAAATATTTCAAGTTAGAGGCACTGGGGGGTGGTGGTAGTGCCACAAATCCAGAAAGCAGCTATTAGATAGGCTACAAAACAATGGGTTTCTTGCGGTAAAGTTAACTATGTCATTCAAGTAATGAACTTAAAGTACAGCAAAACATCTATGCTGACCAAAACTTAAAATACAAAACTCTTTAACAATTCTTTATCATATAATCTGAGATGGATAAATGATGTTCTAGATATTATTGAAATACAGCTCTGTTCATCTCAAAAGTCATAATTCATATTTTACTGGCATTTATATTTTCTTACTTCAAATCATTCATTCTTAAAAGTAAACCTTATATTTGGAGTATTTGACATAGACTGTCTGGAATCACAATTAGGTAAAAATTGGGCTGGCTATATAAAACTAATAATACATGATATTTAGCACTAAAGAAGATGCAACAAATATCTAAGCCACCAGGTTTTTGAACAAAGTACTGTTTTCGTATCACATATGAATTATGCAGATATTAATTCTGAGAAAAAATATGAATCTACCTCTGGAGTATCAATGTCTTGCACTGGTGAATCACCATCATCATCACTGCCTTTTCTCTTTCTTCTGTTTCTGACACTCTGAATTAAGTTTTTGTGGAAATCACAAATATAAAGATGTCTTGCCTGAAAGTTTAAAGAGATAGTTTAACATGCCTCTCTCTGTAACATTTTCTGTAGTCATAATTCACATGCAAATGATTTTATTAATATATAGTAAGCAAAGCAATGATATTAATCACTAACCCATCTGATTGTACTAGTTCATGTAGAGGAAATTTGGTACATTAATTACTGCAGTATATCATGGCTTAGCAAATGATTTTAAACCCTAATTTAATCCTACTAGCTAGGTAAACTGCAAAGAAAATGAATACTGTTTATGTATATACAAAATGTATAGACAGAAAAATGACAATTGTTCAAAAAAAAAAAAAAGAAATGTTCAATTCTCAAACAACTTGGCAATTTTATTTTGCTTCTAATATGTTTTAGAATATTAAATTGCAAGTAAAATTTCTAACTGTATTCTATGCAAAATAGGTACTTTGGATTGAAAACTGAGTAACAAAAAAAGTTATAAAGTGGTAATGGCCACTTAAGAAAAAATGTATGGGTAATTTAATGATGCATATACAATATTAGAATTTTTTTTTACCACAGAAACAAGTTGTTTCAGGAAAAATGCCTACTTCAGTAAAGAACTAAAGAGTTTGGCAATAGATGCAACAAAGTATATATTCTATTGGCACTCACAACTATAGGGATCAATAGGATATTTACCAAAAGAATACTGAAGTGTTTCAAATCCCTCAAGATTAGTTTATATATTCTCTGAAATAATACAAAGGACTTTCAAAAGCTGATTAAATAACATGACTTTATAGCAAGAATATAGAATCTGATAACATGGGATGACCTCACAAGAACCAGATTCTTGGGTTTTGCTCTTCTAAGGAAGTTCCCACCCTTTCTATTGATATTAGCACCTTAATGTATGATTTCCTTCATTCCATGCAAAAGACAATAAGTTGATTTTGGTTTTTGTTATCTACTTCTGTTCAATAGTTATCAGACAATTTCAGTTTGCTTGCTTTCATATACATTTCAAGATTATTATTTATCACTCACATTCCTCAATTTTCCTTTCCCTCTTTTAGTGGACAATGCAGCGGATGGAGACCAGAATGACAATAGGCAGACCATCCGGGAGTCTTATAGCTATATATGACAGTCATTTATGTTTTAGGACCTGGGCTTTACTTATTTCTTCCAGAGTGTGCGCCTAATTGTGGATCAACACAATGTTAGTTTGCCTATGGATATGCTGATTAATCCAAAGCAACATGAAAAATGCACTAATTTTCATACAGCACTCCCAGTACGGTATGAAAGCCCCCACAAAGTACTAGAACAGATAAGAATTACACATCTAACTATATTTATTTGTTGTATGGAATCTAACAATGCTTCCTGTCAAGAAAGTATTTAGCAAAGTACAATAAAGTAACAATTCTAAATCCATTTCCTAAGGACAGAATATCTCACTGAATTCTAATTTTCTAGTAAAAATAAATGTTCTAGTTGGGCTATTAACCTACCATGAATCACACTGGAAGAGTTTATTATTACTATCTTTGTTTTGGTTTAGGAATAAGTAACATGCTTAACAAGCAATAAGATCACACACCCCCTTTCAAAATGTGAATCTTCATGCGATTTCTCAAATTAACCATTGCTCACACTGCCAACATTTAACAACACTCTTTAATTCCATCAATACCGATAACGAGACATATCCCAGACTTGTTCTTTCCGGTGAAAAAATCACAAGTATCCGCTCTACATTAGGGAGCTGGAAGCTGACAGATGTTTACTGTCTGGATTACGTGCTTAGGAATGTCTTGCACTTAAGGGATTTTTCTGGTTCTTTTGTTTAGCAAGATATGCAGAAGCGACGAATATATTTTGGGGCATTTTGTATTTAAAAAATAAAGGTTTTCTAAGAGCTTGATGGCTGCCAAGAGGAAGACGACAGAATGGCAAAATGGGACGTGCAACGCTGCAGCACGAGGCGGAGCAGTCAAGTACTGTCCTCTCCAGGGGGAAACAAATACAGTGCTCCATGAAACACACATGCACACCAACAGTCGGTAGGAACAGCGATAAACAATATTTGCAATTTCTTGCCTAGAGCCGTTCACACGACTTTATGATAAATGCCACCACCATATTCAAGGGGAAAAGAAGGAGATGAAGACAGACAAAAGCATAAAAGAGCAACAAGAGAAGCTACTTCCAACCACTCACAAAGGCCAGTACCTGGCCTTTGGCTCGGCTTTTGCAGCTTCAGCCCACAGCCAAACTACACAGCAAGAGCAAATAAAAACAGAAACAAAAAGCTCTGCAACCCTTCAAAAATCTGCAAGGAGGAAGACAAAAATCAGAGAAATCGCCACTGTCTTTTCCAGGTCTAAACCCTTGTATGTGCAAATAAATATTTAATACATACCCCTATTATGGACAAAACACAAGTGCCACAAAAGCTGGAATGGGCTGTAAGAAAAGGACAATTTTCCTTCATTCAATAAAGCTGTTTTTCCAGAGTGAAAACCAGCCAAATCATGCTAAAATTAAAGAAACTAGAAATGAACACCAGCAAAGCATAAAACGTTTGGCTTATCCGGAAAAGCATCTTTCCCATTCATTCCCTGTAGTCGGTTCGCTTTTGTCTCCTTTACCGTGACCACCACTCGTGAGGATTATATGGGGCTGGCGATGGGGGCTTTTAAAAGGGTCAAGGGATAACCCCAGGTCAACCAAAGCCAGGAGCCCCCCGCAGATTAAAGACACTTACACTTTTGTCCAGCTCGATCTTCACCTTCTTCTGCGAGATGCTCTTCTGGATCCGCTTGCTGAAGCTAGCGTTGCCCGCAGCTCGGCTACACCTCTCGCCCTCCTCCCGTAAGCAGCATAACTGCCCCGCACCGGGTCCTGCAGACCCAAGGGGACCGGCTGAGCCTGCGGCTGTCGCGGCAGCAGCCGACGAAGTCGCTCCCAGCCCGGCCGTCGGCTGCGGAAGGGGCGGCGGGGGCGGCAGGACTTCCACCGCGGCGGTGGCGTTAGCTACAACGGCCGGGACGGCGGCGGCTTCTCCCCCGCCGCGGGTCACTTCCTCGGGGCCAAAGCCGTTCATTGCCCGCCTGCTTAAGCTGCGGGCTAGCTCCGGTAGGGCTACCCGCTAAAGTGAAGTAATTCAACTGGGCGGCGTTCCTGCTACTGACGCTCCCCGCCCCACTACCGGACACCGCCTCCGTCTCCTTTTGTCAGGAGGAGATCGGAAGACGGCCGCTCGGCCTCTTGCAGTCCTCTTGCAATGGCAAGGGCTTCACTGCAATGTGGGAAAGACGAGTCGAATCCGACACGCCCCGAGTCCTGTAGATGAGAGTAGTAAAAAATGCCCGCTCCTCTTGCTCCCAAGACTGACACTGAGAGGAGAACGAGAAACGCCACCCTCCCGCCTCCTTTCTCTCTGTAAAAAGCAAAGCCGCGGCTCCAGAATCTTGCCTCTCCGAAGTAATCAAAATTCGTCTCCTTCCTTAGTAAAGCTGCGCACACATCAACTCCCTTTGCTCCTTTTCCGCACTCTTTTCAACGTGCTGAATACTTTTCGGTTGTTTCCAGATTGCAATAGCAACAACCTGCCCCAATGCTGTTTTTCTCCTCCGCCTTTCCTCACCTTCCTGGGGCTTCACGGGAAAAGTAGTTTTCCCGTCTCGCATTCCATTAAAGGGGCGAGGGTACAGACTACAAATCCCAAAATGCATCTCTGGTGTTAAACAGGACTGTATTTACAAAGCGATCGAACCGGCGGCTTAGCGGTGTTCGCTTGGACGCGCGTGCGCAAACCAGTTTACTGGCTGTGGGGAGTAGCCTTCGGAAAAGCTCCGAATGCTCTTTTCTCTCCTGTCGACTTACTAGGCGGAAGCAAGAAAACAAGATCTCCTTCGACTTATTACACTGGAATGGATATGAAAAGATCTTACGCTGCAATACGTGCATTACCACGTGCTATGTCTATCCAACTGACGCTTGTTAGAGGACACCTGGTTAAAAGAGGCGACGCTTCGTGCAGCAGTTGATTTTTGAAATCTGTACTGCCAGTTGGGGAGGGGGAAATAGAGCAGTTGCTTCGTAGCCTTTTGCTGCAGTCTGCCTCCTGGAAGCAATAAAGCGCGGACCTTGCAGTTGCTTTTCTCCAACTTGCTGCATTGAAGCACCTTTAAAAGCGTGGCTCTTTAAGCTTGGTGTAGACTTCGCTCAAGACAGTTTTGTGCGAAGCCTTTTCTCGGTTCAAGAGAAGGTAGTCTTGTAGAAAATATTTTAACAAAAGTCAAATTTAGTAAAATATTTCCTCCGTACAGGCAAAATACTAATCATTTGGATAAGATCATTAGTCAACTAAATAACTTTAAAGGTAGTTCATAAATTTGAATAATAATTTTATTAACACTAATTTTAATATAGTGCAGTACATACTTTATAAAATATATTTTAATAGCTATATTAAAGACATGCAATAAGTATGTAGAATGAAAAAAGAAAAACTTAAAACAATCTTATTGCTGCCTGATGATGATTATTCAGTAGTGTGACTTTTGGCTATTCTAAAGGCCAAGTCTCTGCACATTTAACGATGTTGCACTGCTTCGAGTTTTTCTATTCTCTGGCTGGTGGCAGCTTTGAAGATGTCCAGACACCATGTACTCTGATGGCCTGCTTTCCTTTTATTGCTAACTCTTCCAATCATAATTGATTTCTCCAGTGAATTCCCTCATATGACATGGCCACTGCTGCCTAACAGTGTTAATTTGAAATACTTGTAACCTGGAACTTTAGGCTTCATTATCAGCTTTTCAATAAGGTGATGTTAGCATTTTAGCATGACATCCATGAATTCTTTTGAAACTTGTTTTCTTTTTAGCCAACACCATTTATTTTTGTATGTGCAAAAACTAGTCTTTTCAGATACTAAACAATAGGGAGTATACCTATTAGATTTGAGCCTTGTTAATAAACTTTAATTTTGCTTGAAATAATTAATAATAATAATAATCAAAATTATATGCCTCTGAAAATATACAACTTTTTGAAATAGACAGATATTTGCAGCAAGCAAATTTTCCTAGACTTTCAGATGAACAACAAGGAGTGATGAACTGTCCGATTGTGTCTGATGAGATTATAGAGCAGCGGTTCTCAACCTGTGGGTCGTGACCCCATTTGGGGTCGAACGACCATTTCACGGGGGTCGCCAAACAATGCAGCCCGCCATTTTTTTTTACCGTTTTTCTTAGCTGTGCTACTCCCTCTGCTTGGCGGCAGCCTGCATGCACGAACTTTACCAAATGTGCCCTGTAGGAGGCGTGTGAAGAGTGCAGGCGCAGAGCAAGGCCCAGCCCTCCCCAGGGACTCATTTCAGATTTACGCCGCAAAAGTTCTTCTCGCGCAGAGGAGAGAGGAAAAACAATTGCGAAACACTTGGGAATCCCTTACAAGGCACCAGGTACCTTGGTGCTTATTTCCTAATGCCTTCCCCCCCCCCGTGTTTTCTGCTCCACCCTGAATTCGCCTCCCTTCCACTCTCCTTAAGCAGCCATTTATGGTCTTAATACAGCCCTCAGTCTGTCTCCCNCCCCCCCCCCCGTGTTTTCTGCTCCACCCTGAATTCGCCTCCCTTCCACTCTCCTTAAGCAGCCATTTATGGTCTTAATACAGCCCTCAGTCTGTCTCCCTTTCCACACCCCCTAAAAGTCTTCATTCAGGCAGGCTTCCAGAGGTCGGCTGGCAGGATGCAGGTAAACCCTCCCCCCTGTCCTGCTGCCTCCCACGGCGCCGCTTCGCGTCCCGTGCCTCCATGCCTCAAGCCCCCGTGTCACAGAACTGCTGGCATTATGCTTGGGCGGGTGGGCAGGCAGGACCCCGGCCGCCGAGTCGCCGCCTCTCCATCGCCCTCTGCCAGCCGGCTCTGTTGCCAGACCTCCCAGCTGACAAGCGCAGGAGTTCGGCGCTGCGGCGGCCTCCCCTTTGCCCTCCGCACCGGCCAAAGCTTTGCCTGACGTTCCAGCTGACCGGCGCAGGTCCCGGGCTGGAATGCCCGGGGAGGGGGGCAGGCTCTGGCGGAGAGCCTAGCGGCGTCACCTCCGGGGCCTCAGAAGCCGCGTGGAGGATCCGCGCGCCTCGGAGCCGTTGGCCGTCCTCTCGCGCCCACCAACCTGGAGCCCTCCATCCTCATCCCGGCACCTCTTGCCCTCTCCCAGCCGCCCCTCTGGGACCTGGCCACCCCTCGAGCCTCCTAAGCGCCATAGCAGCGGTGGGGTCGCGGGAGCCCCTTTCCATGCCGCACAGCCCTTCACCGCCAAACCCTTCCCCGATTCGTTGCACACGAGAGGGGCGCGGCCGGAGTGCCAGCTCCCACTCGGAAAGCACCGCTTCTCCCCTCCCTGGCCGGCTGGCTGGCCTCCGACGCACATGCGGGCATTGCCGCCGCCTCGCCCTCTTCCCCGCCGCCTGGCCGCTTCTGAGACCCAAGAGCCCGGCGAGCCGGGAAGGAGCTGCTCCTGCCCGCCAGCCCCAGGGCTGTGCCGGGCGCCAGAGGGCCAAGGCGGCCTCCGACGGCGAGGGAGGATTTTAAGGATCTTTGAGAGGGAGAGAGAAATAGAGAGAGGGAGCTGAGCTGAGCCGGTCCTCACGCCTCCTGGTTGCCCGGCCGCCCTCTGCGCCGCGCCGGAGCCTCCCCCACCACCCGGCCCACCTCCCTCGCCGTTGGAGGCCGCCTTGGCCCTCTGGTGCCCGGCGCAACCCTGGGGCTGGCGGGCAGGAGCAGCTCCTTCCCGGCTCGCCGGGTCTCAGAAGCGGAGGCCAGCGTTGGAGGCCAGCCAGCCGGCCAGGGAGGGGAGAACCGGTGCCTTCCGAGCGGGAGCTGGCGCTCCGGCCGCGCCCCTCTCATGTGCGACGAATTGGGGAAGGGTTTGGCGGTGAAAGGCTGCGCGGTGTGGAAAGGGGCTCCCGCGACCCCACCACTGCGATGGCGCTTAGGAGGCTCGAGGGGCGGCCAGGTCCCGGAGGGGCGGCTGGGAGAGGGCAAGAGGTGCCGGGATGAGGTTGGAGGGTTCCAGGTTGGCGGGCGCGAGAGGACAGCCAGCGGCTCCGAGGCGCGCGGATCCTCCGCGCGGCTTCTGAGGCCCCGGAGGTGACACCACTTGGCTCTCCGCCAGGCTCTCCGCCAGAACCTGCTCCCCTCCCCGGGCAATTGTGCGGAGCTGCTTGTGTGTCCTTTGCAGCACCTGCAGGCAAGGCTGTGTGCCCAAGCCGAAACGCTGCGCTTTTCCTACCACTTCTCCCGTTGGTCAAAGAGGCAGACGCGATTTCCCTTTCCCTGGTTCTTTTCATCTGCGCTGGAAAGGACAATTTGGGCTGTTTTATTATCGGTACCTGTTGCTTGTTTTATTACTTGTTTTATTACTTGTTTTATTACTTTGCTGAACCAGGGAAAATTGGTTAAAGTGATTTTCAGGAGCTGCAGAATGCCTCCAAGTAAAGCCGCAGCAATTACCCGGCCAATTTTCCTTGCTAGGGCATCTGTGTGTGTCTCCAGACCTTACTGGACTACCATCCCCAGCAGCCCTAAAAAGCACTGTGGAAGTGTGGGGAATGCTGGGAGTTGCAGTTCATCACCATCTGGGAAAACATGACTCTCCAAAGATCATTCCTTCCTTCCTTCCTTCCTTCCTTCTATCCATCCATCTCCTTCCCTTCCCCTTCAATCTCTCCTTCCTTCCTTCCTTCCTTCCTTCCTTCCTTCCTTCCTTCTTTCCTTCCTTCCTTCCTTCCTTCCACCCATCTCCTTCCCTTCCCCTTCAATTTCTCCTTCCTTCCTTCCTTCCATCCATCCATCCCCTTCCCCTTCAATCTCTCCTTCCTTCCTTCCTTCCTTCTTTCCTTCTTTCCTTCCTTCCACCCATCTCCTTCCCTTCCCCTTCAATCTCTCCTTCCTTCCTTCCTTCCTTCCTTCCTTCCTTCCATCCATCCATCCATCTCCTTCCCTTCCCCTTCAATCTCTCCTTCCTTCCTTCCTTCCTTCCTTCCTTCCTTCCTTCCTTCCTTCCTCCTTCAATCTCCTTCCTTCTCCATTTC